GCGCGAGGACGGAAAGGAGGGGGGGGGGAGGGTCCCCCGGAAAAGGTCCCCCCCCCGGGAGGCCGAAAGGGGCTGTGACCGGTGAGACGCCCCTGCAACGGGCCATGGCCCAGTGGGGACGGCGATGCCTGCCGCTGTGGCACAGCGAGGCCGCCCACGCCCAGCAGCTCGCCTGGCTGCACCGCCACGAGTACTTGATGGCCCGCTTTAACGCCCACGTGGCGCCTTTTAACGCGCACGAGGCGCGCGAGCGCCGGCGGTGGGCCCCGCGCTACCGCCAGGGCCTCGCCATCGCTTTTCTGCTTTGTCGCTACCTCGAGACGCGCGGAATGGAGGACCTGCCCCCGCCTTACGTCCCGCTGCTTGCCCCCGTGGCCGCCTTCGTGGGATGCACGCGAGGCCACCGGGAGCTCTTGGGAAGACTCAAGGAAGTCCTTTCCGACCTCAGCGAGCGCGCAAAACGCGTCCAGGTGCATCTGCAGGATCTGAAATTTGAGATGTTGGAGGAGGCCGCGAAGGCAGTGGGGGAAGGGCGGGGGATCGCATCAGAAATCGTTACCTGCCAGGCTACAGAGCAGGACGTGATCGGCTTTCAGCTGGTATGTGTGCGATTGCCGTCTGTGAATCTGCAAAATGTACCTTCTTTATGTGATGATAATAGATCAGCTGATTAACAATATCTCTTTCTCTCAATATATGTTGAAAATGCTTCAGATGAGTTGAGAGGAGGGGAATGAAATGTTCGAACCATGTATACAATCACTTTTTTCTTCAGGAATGAAAAAAGTCAATTTTCTCAACTGACACGAGCAATAACCTCTGAAAATTTGCGTCTTTTTTTAAAGTATTTATATGATTTTCTCTCCCGTCGCAGGATCATGCAGATGGTGTTATTCTGAGTGAAAGGAGAGACAAATTTTACTGCTCCATTACACTTGTAAAGTAATTTCCAACTTTTTTTAAAATTGCTTATGGCTCTACTCCTTTGAAAATCACTCATGATTTCTAATAACAATACCAGTTTGATGAAAGGGTTTAAAAGTGGAATAGACAATATATTTATGTAAAAATACTTGACATAATAGTTTCCTTATACTAATATGCCTATACATACAAATAGTTGAACAGAAATCATTTAGACACAATGATACCTGCTATTTGCCTTTTACCTTATTATTTGATTTATCAGGCAGACTCTTTTCAGTTTTTTCTTTCAAACCAAAAAAAATCTAAAATGGAAGAAAAGTAAAATAATAAAAAATATAATTGTGAAGGTAAATATTTTAACCTTGGAGAACGCCTGTAAGCGAGGTGTGGACTTGATCAAATGAATGTGGGGGTTTAACCGTTTGCGAGTAATCAGCTCCGGGAATGGGATGACTGCGGCCGCCTTACCATGTGGATTCCTTACGAAACGGATGTCCTTTTCCAACTTACCGCGCGAGAAATTAGACGATAATGTTGGAAAAAGGGAAAGAAACAAAAACAAAAATGATAAAGAAAAAACTGCTGCTGCTGCTCTTGAAACCTTCCGCTCGACGGCGCCGTTAAGGCAGAATGCGCCGCCATCCCTTCGAGAGCGGTCCCTTCTTCGCACAAAAGACAAACCAATAGGGAAAGAAGAAGATAAAGGTGAAAAAAGAATGTTGACATTTACTAAAAGGAATATAAAGAAAAAGGTGAAGGGGAATAGGCATCTTCGACATACTCCACCGTCCTTGTTAGTAAATGATGTGCGCTACTTTACAGGTCCCCACGCACGGCGGTGGATAGAGCTCTTTCACTATCAACACCGGGTTTCTATGAAAAAGGAAAATGAAAATGAGATTGGATGGCGATTTCTCGCTCCTTCCTACCGATGCCCTTTTTGTTTTTCAAAAAAAGGGATAACTCGTGGTGAAAACGCTCAATCGTCTTATAAAAAAGGAGAAGAGGACTCTTCATCTTTTTGGATGAGCCCGGAAGCGTTGACGAATCACCTTAGCTGGCTCCATCCTCATGAGGGGTGCTCCCCGCAGGAATTCTCTTCCTTCAATGAACATGTCGTGAAATGCATCGTAGAACGACAAAAGGTTAATTGTTATCGTAATGATGACAATAACAACGGTAAAAATGGGAAATTAGAAAATGAATCCACAAGAGTGCGTGATAATAATAGCCAGGCCGATGATGAACGAACTCGAGTGGGCGTCTCTGCGGAAGGGAGCGCTCCGAATCAGCTCTCATCGTCATTATATTCTTCTTCGCTTCCGTTATCACCTTTTGAGCTTATTTTACTCGTCGACGTTGCAAATTTAGAGCTGAACTCCTCGCCGGTGGTGCTCGAGCTTCTAAAAAGCAGGGAGGCCATGAGTTTTTTTTCCGCCATCCCGGTCGCGTTTTGTATGATTCACGAGATCTTCATCCCGCATACTGCGAAAACCCCACATGGTTTTTTTCGCCTCGCCCAACTTCATCCAAGCTCAGATTTGTTTACGTACTACGCGGTATCGCGCTTGGAATCGGGTGATATGGGGATTTCCAGCCTTATTGCAGAACTAAAACTTGGATTAGATGCCTGCTCACGGCGGAAAGTCAATAAAAAGGGGAAAACCAAAACCTATGAGAAATGGAAAGATAGTTTAGCCTCTCCACTTCTCCCTCCAATGATGATTCTTACAATGGATAAGCATCTGAAGACAAGTTTAACCATGTATTACGGTGATGATGGTGCCTATGAAGGGCTTTTTAGCATGTTTCCAGATATGAGCGAGTGTGAATTAATGAACAGCGCAATTCCAAAGCTTTCAAGAAGGTCTGAGGTCAAACTATACGTTCCGAGGGCGATCTCTATTTTTCAGATTTTACGAATCTTATCCCTTTTAAAGAGGAAACGTGAGGTAGATACATGATTAGTGAGGAAATCAAATTCATTGTTTTTTCTTCAGCTGCTGGAATAAATCTGAACCCTCCTGTTTCTATATTAGCAACTGCTTATGACAGGGATAAATTTGGGACTGTAGATCTCACTTTTATTAATATATCTAAGATGGATTTTTATTGTTTGCAAATGTAAGTGTATGACACACACACACACA